TTATTTCACTTTTCAGCGAAATGGGCAAAACCTTTAAAGAAAAAGCATTTGCAGGTGATAAACCAAACAAATTTGTTATTATTTTAAATTTGTTATTATTTTAAATTTTTTAATATTTGCTGTTGTTGGAATGCATTGCAAAAAATTATTTGCAAATTATGAGAAAATAATTTTACTAGCAAGTTGCCAAGAAAATCCTTAAAATCGCTTAGAAAATCTTTATTCTCAAGAAGTTATTTCGAAGAAACATTTTCACAATAATGCATTTGTGTAATTATACCAATAACGGCATTTTAATTTTAAGTTTAACTCAATTAATGAATTGGATTTTTTCATGTTATATTTTTATTATTTTTTGATAATAATAATAATAATTAATTTTCAACAATTTAAAATTTTACAACAAGAATTATAATTAAACTTTAATTTGGCATATATATATATATATATATATATATATATATATATATATATATATATATATATATATATATATATATATATATATATATATATATATATATATATATATATATATATATATATATATATAAACTTTTTGCATAATCTGTATTGTTATTGGAATCGTTTTTATTTCATTTTCATTGATTTTCTAACCAATTGCTTTTTTAAAAAATTTAATCCTGCATTATGAAAATACTTTATGTTAAATAAATCAAACTCCCTTTATATATATATCATAGGTATACTTTTTATTTTTGAGATAAAATTATAAAATTAAATATATATTTTCAATAATAAAATCACTTTTAAAAAGGCTGCAATCAATATTATATAATTTAGTAGTTAAGAGAGAGCAAAGAAGAATAACTGAGACTTTAAAAATTATAAACTGCATGAGTGAAGAAAACATCTAGAGAGGACTTCTAAAGGATTGTGTTTTTTTTGAGCATAGTATAACAGTTCAAAAATTTGTTTAATATGGTGGCACAGTTACAGTAAAAGGATGTGAGAGTTTAAGTAGAACAAAAGTTTTGTGTTAGAACAAATTTAGTTTTTAAACAAGAGAATTGTAAAAGGTGGACATCGCTTGAACAGTAACCATGGTAGCAGTTTTAGAAAATAGAAAAAGATTCAACCATATGACCATTGGAACAGAAGCACAAACTTGGGATTAGAGCAGGTTCATCTACATTTTTAATGTGTTTTTGGATTATGTCTAAAAGAAAATGCACATAACTAGAAGAAGACAAAACTGTTATCTTAAAGACAAAACCTTTTTACAATGGTTTTTAGAAATAGTAAACAGACGTCTGTTTTCTGGACAATTGTATTGTTGATAGATATGGAAATAATGGTTACGATTGGAAATTGCAGCCGCACAATGCGAGGAAAACCATGAAGAAGAGTATCGCTTGAATTGGAATAGTCAAGAGGGAATAAAAAATCCCATGCCAATCTGAATCCAAATAGTTAAGTAAGAAGCACATTTGTCAGAAGGAAGACAAAAGAACTCTACCCAAGGGCCACAAATAAAATTGTCTGGAAAGCAAGTTGGAAAGTTGATTATTTGAGTTAGAGATTGAGAAAGACAAAAGTTGTTGTCCTTAACGCTTGAGAGCCACTGACAATATAGCCAAGCCATTCAGTGTGATGAGCATTAAAGCCACCAACAACAACAATATTGGCTGAAGAACAAAGATAAAGAGCTTGGTCAATTTGATCAGAAATAACATCGAAAAGAATGCAGTCTTGAGATGAAGGAGAGCAATATAGAACAAAGAGAAAGGCGATAGAGTGAAGAAGTGCTAAACGATAGCACATAAAAGAATAGTCTGTGGATTCAAACCTAGTATCCTGACAAATGGTTGAATTCTTATGAATGTAAATGCCTGGGTCAAGCATGTGACTATTGGAGTCTTGAATCACTACTTGTGATCTTAACCTATAGAAGCTTAACATCATAATCTTTTGTAATTTACATTAGATCAAAAGTGCTTTTTTTTTTTTTTTTTTTTTTCTAAGAGCAGACAGAAAAAACATTATTGACAAATATTAATATTATACAAATTTTTAATAATATATTAATATTTACACAATATTTTTTTAAAACTCTTAAATCCTCACCTCCTCTTCTATATAATCTGATTTTTGTTTCAACTCAGCCTGACCTTTTTGAAGAAATTCTAATTGCCTACTAATGTTTTCAAGCATAGCCAATACTTGGGAAGCGCCTTCAGCTTCATCTTCAAGTTCAAATACAATCTAATTTTGAAAAAAAAACTAATTTATTCCTGATAACTTATTTTAGTTTAAAAAATCTTAAAAAAACTGCTTTTTTGAAACAAAATATAACTTACCTCAGGAGAACAGTAATTTGCTATAGCATTTTGAACTTCTTTTTTTTTTTTTTTGCCTAATTTTTTTTCTGCAATAATCAAGGCTTCTGCTTGCAACATGTAAGCTGTGGCTGCAGCATTTGAAAACACTCTTGTAAAAGTCTGTGAGAGAATTCCAGTATAAAGACTAATGCATGTAATAGACATAAAAGCATAGAACGATCCACAGATTATCTGGGCAACCACCTTTTCTGATGTATTTACTGTTCCATTATGCGTATAGAGATTTGTGTATGAAAAACTGTCTCTATTTGTAATTCGAAGAAGTTGAAACATTACATCATCAAAATTAGCATAACTATTATCATCCCACCGAGGTCCACCAAATATAATCCATACTGTGCATGCATAAGGTATTAAAAACTCCATAAATAAAAATGTAAATTTCACTGTTTCTTCAGCAACACTTCCAAACATAGCAATAAATGGACCAATAGCAAAAAAAGGTCTAAAAGAAGACATAAATCTTATCCATATTATGAAAAGAACAACAGGAAAAGCATAATAATGAGCTCGTAATGTTGTTTCATAAGTATTATCTACTTCTTTAGAACTAATCAAAATAATTCTAGTAACCAATAAAAATGCAAGTCCTATGTAACAAAGCATATCAAAAACAATCCATGCATCATACAACGATCCCATTGTTTCTGTGCTAATATTACGAATTTCTTCTTCAATTAGTTTTCGTTCTTGTGGCCACCGAGGATGGCAAAAATTTAAATCTCGACTTAACTCTTGCAAACGAGAAGCCTTAACACCTGCATAACTTTCTGTTGCCATTTTAAATTGAACTTTTGTCTAAATGTAACAAATATTTTTATTAAAAAGTTTTATTAAGCAATAAAGATTATTCCAAACTTTTATACCTAAAATATAACTTTATTTATAAATATAAAAAAACCTTAATATTATAAATTATACAATTCGTCATCATTTTATTTACTGTATACAAACTATTATTATTGTTAAAACGTGCATAGAACAAAACCATGAAGACACTGCACAGTGGGCTAGGTGGTGGACAAAATTTCACAGCTAAAACAATCAACTTTTCTAAAAAATATATTTTTTTGTATAATTATCATGCCAAGTGCTTCTAAACTGTAGAATAAAAAAACTTTTTTTTTTAAGAAAAAATATTTTTCTTAATTTTTTTTTCAATTTGATAGCATATTTTATCTACTAATAAGCATGGAATAGATTTTAAAAACATTCTTTTTATTGCATAATTTAATAAAAGTATTATCTTTCAAATGAGTTATTACAACACTATTTTGCATGTAAGTTATGCCAAATAAAATGGTTTCAAATGACGGGGTATTAGAAGTACTATTTTTAGTTAAAATTTCACTTATATAGTTGAATACTTTTGCGATCCAAAGCTGTCCATTATATGTGTTTAATTCTAAATGGTTAAGTAATAATTGGGTCTCAGCAAGACTAGATTAGTGTTACAAACTCGTTTTATTACTTATATATTCTAAAATACCTATTTGTAGAATTTTGTAAATAAAATTTATATTTTTATATAGTTAAAACATGATATTTATTCATAATACAAGAAAACCTGAAGATAGCTAATCCTAATATTTTATATACACAAAAAGGTTAAAACTCAGGGTTTCTTTTTATATGGATTCTTTTTAAATAGTAGTTTTTATGGATTATGTAGTCATGAAATATAAAATAGAGCCTTGAAAAACATAAAACTTGTAATAAGGGATGTGTTGAATTTTCAATTTTTAAAAGAATAATTTTTATTAATTTAATTTTAACAATTTAATAATTGTTAACTTTAATATTATTCTAGTTATAACATTGATGCTTGGAGAAAAGTTATTATAGCTAGTAGCTATGCAAAATGAAGCGTCAGGCATTTTAGGTGTCAATAAAAACCAAATAAAAAGTTCATAGCACCACTACATTTGTAGTATCAAAATACTCAATGTGGTAATTATGAGAGAAAGCCAATAAAATTATTACTTTTTCTACTTTATTTTTGTTAAGGTAATAAAATATGTGGTTCCTAAGCAATTTAGGTATCCATAACAACCCAAAATTAAAAATAATGTACCATTAAAATCGCAATCTTCAAATTAGTAAATAGTGCAAAAATGATTCTCAAACCCTTTTTATATGACGAGTTATTAGTTTTGTCCAGTAAAAGTGATTTCTGGCCCACTGTGCACTATTGATAATATTAGGGTTGTGGTATGAATTCCGTTTAATTTGAATGTTTGTGAAATGTTTTTCGATTGTTTTAAAACTATATTCACCTTTTTTGTTGTTAGTAACTGAAATATCAAGATAGTTTAAAATATTGGTCAAGTTGGCTGATTCCATTGCATATTGAATACTTTTATGTTGTTTATTAAGTAGATAATAAAAACTTTTGCACATCTTTTTTTACCATAAACTTGTATATCACCAGCATATTTCTAAAATGACTTGATATGAATATTTATATTAAGCGTCATTGAGAGAGCATTACGTTCATGATACTGTAAAAAACACCCGGCATCTACCACCATATGAGCTAAGCTAATTGGTTCAGAGTTTTTGAGCTCATGAATATAATTTTTATATAAAAAATAGCAACGAGAAGGACAAAGTTCTAAAAGCAACCTGATCTCCTCAAAAATCAATTTAGATATAAAGCTCTGGTTGTTACCTAAACTTTCAACTAAAATAAGGCATTTCACTGAAGTAATAAGGCATTTCACTGAAGTTTAGAGTTTTCTAGCTCATGAATACCATTTCATATATAAAAAATATATGCTACATTTATATATATATATATATATATATATATAATATATATATATATATATATATATATATATATATATATATATATACACACATATATATATATATATGTATATACAGGAGTCGAAATAAGTGCCAACATCGCCGCCCCTCAGACCATTTTTGAGACCTGCTAGACGAGGACAACACACACGCTTAGGAGGGGATCACAATACCCAACACACACACACACACACGCTTAGGAGGGGATCTGTTTAGTTAATGGTAAGATCAAATGAAGTTAACGGAAGATACTTATTGGTTGAAACTAACCCTGCAATATCCTACAGTTGAAACTAAAAATCTTTGATATTCAGACATTAAAGTTTTAAAAACTTTGATTTCAAAATCTATAAAAGAAGTCCATGATTATGAAAGTGAAAAATAATAAATTATTAATGGCTACATTATCAAACATTTGATTATCTTAACTATTGTTAGTTTTAGCAATTCTTGGATAGAACTGTAAACTTGATCTATTTTTAATAAACATTTTTGCTTCTAAAAATCTATATTTAATTACTTAATTAATTTCTAATTACTTATGCAGAACTAAAAAAAAAGTAAAAAGTTATTTAATAATGAAACATTCTTTAACTTTTTTTAAATAAGCTTTTCTTTAATAGGTTTTGAAGAAATAAGAAGCCAAGAAATCGCTGTCTCAAGAGCTCACAGACTTTTAAAGATATTCAGAAATCAAAACAACCCACTTGATAATTATGATGATCCACTAGATAACTACGATGATATAGACTTATACAAAAGGTTGAGATGTAGTTAAGCTTAGAGATAGTTGAGATTTATACCTAAAGATTTTGTTGAACTTCTATTTTCTGTTTGATCAACTTGCTGCAAATAGATTTACAGTCTCAAAATATTTAATAAATATATATAAATAATATTAATAAAAAGATTTCAGCCAAAGTCAAAGTTTACAGACTTACAGTTTAAAAATAAAAAATTATTATTAAATTTCTCTAGGAGTAAACCTTGCAAACTTCCATACCCAACACACACACACACACACACACACACACACTTGGGAGGGGATTTGTTTAGTTAATGGTAAGATCAAATGAAGTTAACAAAAGATACTTATTGGTTGAAACTAACCCTGCAATATCCTACAGTTAAAACCAAAAATCTTTGATATTTTTTTAAAAATAAAAAATGTACACTAAAGTTTACATTTTTTTATTTTTTACCTACTACAGCAAAATTTGTTGCATATTGCAAGTGTTATGTGCATTTTAATTTTTATGTGCAGTTTTCAAAAAAAAAAGAATCTTTCCAAATTATGTAATTTTACAGTAGCTACAAGTTAACTGACTATTACAACAATTTTTCACGTTCCTTAAAGTCTAGCAAACATATATATATTTGTTATAGAATTTGTCAAAATTAAAATTGAAAATGAAATAAAAATTGAGATATTTTTTAACTCTAAGTTTAAAACAAGAATTACATGAGATTACAGCAAGAAATCCATAAGATTATAGTAAAAACATCATATACGGTATCATACTATTTATTTTTTTACGTGAGAGCCATTATCAAACGAATAAAACAGTTTTATTTGTTTGATAATGGCTCTCACTTATATATTTATCACCTAGATTCTTTTATATATATATATATATATATATATATATATATATATATATATATATATATATATATATATATATATATATATATATATATATATATATATATATATATATATATATATATATATATATATATATATATATATATATATATATATATATATCAATATCAATATATATATCAATATATATATATATATATATATATATATATATATATATATATATATATCAATATATATATATATATATATATATATATATCAATATATATATATATACATTATACATTTTATAAGAACCTAGATTCTTAAGACATATAAGAATCTAGGTGATGACATATATCATAAATTAGTACATCAAGAGCCCCTTGGCCTCCTCAGGTTGATTGGAGTCTGACTTTTCCCTGACTCTAAACACCTTAGTAACATAGTAGCTGCAAAGCATTTTCATTATAAGATCATAATTTGTTTGAGGTCTAAAGAAGTTTTAGCCTAAAATATTAATACTAGGATATATGAAATGACTATTTTTCACAATTAAATTACTGTTTTTCCATTTTATGGGCGTTTTTTAAATAAACAAAACACATTTGACACATTTAAAGTACAATTTTCTAAATGAAAATATTTAAGAGAGGTTATTTAGACAAAATTAAAAATGAAAGTACAACCAAAAAAACTTTTTACTAAACTAAACACTTCTTTTTACATAAATGAAAACTTTTTGCATATATAAATACAAATAACCACCCCACCCACCCCAAACGTGAGGGCAACAAGTTGATAACATATTTTTTGTACTATTCTTAACTAAAATTATATTCATTGATAAATTTTAAGTTTCATAGTATTATCTCTCAGCGTTCAAAAATTATGACCGTATAAAGTTTAAACCCCTCTCAATTTGAGGGGGTTGCAAATTTTATATGGTCATAATTTTTAAACGCTGACAAATAATATTATGAAACTTAAAATTTATGAATGAATATAAGTCTATTTAAGAATAGTATAAAAAATATTTTATCAACTTGTTGCACTCACATGAGGGAAGAGTGAGAGAGAGATGAAATTTTAGGGTTTATTTGTTCCCAGCCTCTAAATCCTTATTTGTTCCTTCCTTTTTCATAAAATGTTCTATAATTTTTCACAACAACTTTTCACAACATTAAAAGTTTAAAAAAAATTTTAACAAGATTTAAATGATTAACTCTTTTTCAGTTTTTAAAGCAAAATCCATGATTAAAATATCATTTATAATAAAAACACCAACTGCGCTCAGCTGAGCTTAGAAAATTTGGTTATAAATTTTTATCTATATGTAATTTAAAGTAGATTACATGTGCGGCCTAGTGTTTTTTGGCTTATGTAACGGTAAGTGTTTAAAAAATGATGCGCATTTTATGGGGTTTTATTGAAAATCACTTTAAAAAAAAGCAAGCATAAAAAATAAATTTTTATATTTCTTCTGCTTATTTCAATATATGATGTAAATGGACCAAGGCCTTCTTAAACAGGCCGCGACAGCTCATTTTCCGTAAAATTAGCGAAGGCCGACTTTTTTACGGAGAAGTATAGTTTCAATGAGGATTTTGGTTGTTTGATTTAAACTATAATAGTTAAACTCGTAAAATGCCTAATAAATGCTGCGTTTATGGTTGCTCCTCAAATTACAAATCAAAAGTAAAAGATAATGTTTATGTCACAATGTATAGATTCCCCTTTAAATGCGAGGATCGCGAGTTATGGATTAAAAAACTTCCAAATGCAAACTTTGTGTTTACATATTATAAGCGAATTTGTGCTCAGCACTGGCCTAAAGATGCAGAATTAAAAAAAGTCAAAGGTGGTAGTTTTGTTCCAGTGCATCCTCCATCAGTCTTTAAAGGTATACCAGTGTCTTGTATTCCAATAGTGTCTAGAAAACAAGATGTCACTGGGTTATTATGCTCTGAAAGAAATATTTTACCTGATGAGTTCGAAAACTTCAAAAAAATGGACGTTATTCAATTTAATTCAATTGTAAAAAATTTGAAGTCAATAATAAATAACTGTGAAGAAAAATTTTATTTTGTTGAAAAAGAAAAAAATATATCTTTAATATCATATGAACATTGTGGACCAGTACCTAAGTTTTCAATATATATAACTTTAGAAGATTCTGGAGATATTTATTTTACTGGATATAGCCAACTTTTACAAATTAAACTGTCTTTTTTAAACAAAGGAGTTATTAAATATTATTCTCAACTGGAGAATGCTGTTAGTTATGTTATTAATAATGAAACAGATTCTAAGCGAGCAAGTTATATTAGGCATCAAGTAGCTTTATTAAATAAAACAAACAATACACCATTTTTTTTAGAGGACATTTCTGATGCATTACATCTTTATTCAAAATCTCGTTCAGTATATTTTGATCTTGTTGAGAAGCTTGTTTTGCCAAGTGTACGAGAGTTACAACGAATGACAAACAAAATAAATAAACTTGAAGATACTGAATATTTAAAGATGATATTTAAAGAACTTCAGGAATTTCAAAAATACTGCTTTATCTTGGCTGATGAGGTGTACATAAAACCTGGGCTACAGTACTCTGGTGGTAAGTTATTTTTAACTAATCAACTGGAAAGCCAAGATTTTTGTTTTTAGTTTTTTTTTTAAACTATTGTTTGAAAAGCTTAAATAATTGTAGAACTCTCAATTAGTTAAAATAAATCATTGAAAAAAAATATTTTTTAAGGTGTTAATTTTGTTTATTGATTATAGGTATTGTGTATGGTGAAGCAGAAAATATCCAAGAAAAAGCAAAAACAGTTTTAGCACTAATGCTTCTTTGTCTTTTTGGTGGCCCACGACTTGTTATAAAAGTTTTTCCAGTTTGTAAAGTTACAACAAATTTTCAAACAAGCGTGATAGAAGAATTAAATCAACAAATCATAATTGCAGGTGGAAAGCCTCTTGGGTTAATAATGGATAACTGTCGAGTAAACCAAAAAACATTTCAATATTTTAATGCAAAAAAAGTTCCAGCATACTATCTTTTAAATGACACTGTGCATATTTTAAAATGTATTCGAAATAATTGGATCACTGAAAAATTACAATGTTTAAAATATAGATTGCTAAATGATAACGATACTGTGCGACTTGCAGAATGGAAATTTATAATTCAACTTCATGCTGCAGATAGTGGAATAGTTAAGTTGTCACCCTTAACACAAAAAGCTGTGTCACCAAAACCAATTGAACGACAAAATGTTGGATTAGTTCTTAAAGTTTTTTGTGATGAAACAGTTGCAGCATTACGTGTAAAATTTCCTGAAGCTGAAGATACTGCACTTTTTATTGAAACAGTTGTTAAGTGGTGGCTTATTGTCAACAGTAAAGCAAAAGGTCTAGATATTAGATTAAATGATATTCGAAGAAAGCCTATTACTTCAGTCAATGATTGGCAAATAGATTTCTTAGAGAACCATATTTCGTATTTTGCTGAAAATTTGAAATGCGTAAATTCAAAATTAAGAGAGAAAAAGTTAACAATGGATACTGCAATTGCTTTGCAAAAAACTTCTAAAAGATTAGCAAGCTGTGCCAAGTATTTGTTGAATTGCGGTGTATCTTATGTATTGTTAGGACATATGCAATCAGATGCACTAGAAAAACAGTTTGGGAAATATCGGCAAGGGTCAGGTGGCACATATCTGATAACTGTGCAAAATGTTATTCAAAAATTTAGAATCGACAAAACTAGAAAGTTGCTAGACAAGCATAAAGATTTTACAATATTTCCTCCTGCTCACCACCACTGTGATAAGTGTGAACTTGATGTGGAGTTTAATATGTCAATATGTGAAAATTGTGAGGATCAGTTGCCAAATGAATGCAAACAAGGGCTTTTATATATTGCAGGTTTTATTGCTTACAAACTTCCAGAATTACATACAATTTTAGAAGAAACAGACACCTTTGATATGTTTCAAAAATATGGAACTTTGATCAGTTCTTTGAACAGGGGAAGACTAAGAGAACCTTCTGACAATTTAGTCTACTTTGTTTTTTATTGTTTTTTTATATTTGAAGTGACACTTGTGAATAAAGTTTCACCATTGCTGTGCAAGAAAAGATTAATTGACATTTTTATTAACTGCAATAGTAAATTTCAATTGCTTGTTCATAGTGTTCAAAAAGTTTGCTGCATTTTGGCAAACATTTTTTTAAACAATTATTGTAAAAAACACTCTGAAGATTTTGGGAAGGAATGTTTAATAAAACAAGCAAAACTTTCAACTTCAAAATAAAATACTTTGAGTCAAAAAAGTCAAAATAATTTTAATAAAATAAAGTTAATATATTTGTTTGTTTTTATCAAAAAATTTATTATTTGTATTACAAGTGTTAAACAGCTAAAATAAACATATAGTTATAAAAACAAGATTTAGTCATTTTTAGCTAAACTCCTTAAATTTTTATTGTAATTAACTTATTTCTAAACGTAAAAAAAATTCCAACAATATTTGCTTTCGAAATTCAATCAAAATGTTTTGTCCTAATAAAGCTCTTTATTTGTTTCTGAAGTTTGTTTACAAAAGCAAAGATAAAAAATAATTTTAACCGTAAAAAAGTCGGCCTTCGCTAATTTTACGGAAAATGAGCTGTCGCGGCCTGTTTAAGTAGGCCTTGAAATGGACTAATAAATTTTTAAAAAATTAAAATGTTGTATATTTTTTACATTCATTGTAAAAATGAATGTAAAAAATATTATCACCATTATTTGAAAAATATATCATCATTATTTGAAAAAAAAAATATTGTAATTTTTGTAGTAAAATTGATATACTGAGCTCAAAAGAAATTAATCCAATATAAAAGTTGGTTTTAAAGGCTTTTGCTCACCTCTGGCCCACTGTGCAGTGTGTGATAACAACAAAATCATTCAATTGATTTCCAAGCAGTGTGTGATAACAACAGAGAGTTTATTGATTTTGCTGAAAGATTTTAAGAGAATCAAAAATTGGTAAGAAATTTATTGATAGATCTCTTAAAGGCTAATTACTTGGTGATTCTTGTTAACTATGTTTTTAAGTACACAACTTATTCAAGTAAAATTTCAATTGAAAAAGTTAATGAATTTAATGAATGGTGACTTAAAAGCATGATTAGAATTCAATTTTTCTCCTTCTGCTGCCAGCGGCGTGCTGGCCCCAGAAACTATGCAGGAATCCTGCATGGGTCTTAAGTCATTTATTCTAGAAGGGCCTTTTAGAAAAAATAAATTTTACTATACTCTGAAAATGTTCAACAAATAAAAACTTATTCAAATTCTTTACTGTCTAATCTAAAGTGCTCAACATTGATCGCTAATATATTAATATTTTACATAATAAAAAGTAACCATTATCTAACATTGTCTTCAAAATACAGTAGAAATTTGAAAAAAGCATTTATTATTACACCACAAATCACTATTAACAGCTCTTAATAAGTTAAAAAAACTGCATCATAAGTTGAATTAATTGCAACAGTCAAAAAGGAATTTGCAATCTAATTAAAAGAAATATTATACTAAGAATTAAAAGTTGTGTGAAAGATGAATTGTTTATTTGAAACATAAAATTCCTTTCCCGATGATTTTTTAAGTATCAAAAAAATATTGCTTGTCAAATTAAAAAAAAATTTCAAATAAAACATTCCATCCTTAAAACTATTTACTTGAAAATTTAATTATGGCTTGTTTAGCCAACCATGGATTATGTAACAGCTATGTAACCATGAAATTGAAACAATGCTTAACATTAATTTGTAAGTCTGACATCAAAACTTTTTTATGCTGTCAAAATATTTGCATAATAATGTTGATAAACCATATTTAAATTTATTTTAAAATTATGACAATTGAATAGCTAAAGTTCCCATTAAAAAAAGATTAATATAAGTTTGTTTTTTTAAACTAAAAATTTATAAAAATTTTTTGAAAGCATGAAAATTATTTTAATTCATAAAATAAATAAAAATTTAAAAATCTTGTTTGTATTTTTGAAAAACTTGTGCTTTTAAATGTTTTGTATGAATGCAAATACCCTTTAATATCTTTAAAAAGCAAATATCTTAGTATTATTTTTGTTGCTTGATTTTATCAATTTTATGAAAAACACGCGTGTTTTTCAAATATAAAATTTAACACTTAAAAAAATTATAGTTTTAGGAAAACTCTTTTTTTTTGTAACTTTTTTTTATAACTTAGTTTATGATTTCAATAAAGTAATTATAGTGCTTGGTTATCTCTCTCTCTCTTTTTCTCTCTCTCTCTCTCTCTCTCTCTCTCTCTCTCTCTCTCTCTCTCTCTCTCTCTCTCTCTCTCTCTCTCTCTCTCTCTCTCTCTATATATATATATATATATATATATATATATATATATATATATATATATATATATATATATATATATATATATATATATATATATATATATATATATATATATATATATATACTATATAATATATAAGCATAATTATGTAAATGTATATACCTGAATAAAAAAGTAGATAGCTAGTAGCAATCCAATGAACTCTAAAACAAATCTCCAGCTCTGTTTATCATAAGGAGTATAAAATTCAACTTGTGAAATGCTTTGTATGGTTGAAGCAGTTGTATTGGTTGAATCCAGTGATATGGTTGAATCCAGTGATATGGTTGAATCATATGATTTAGTAAATGTTAAATCAGCCAACACGGTGATATTGGGTAAGATTTCAGGAGCTACAGTTATTAAATCAGTTGAAATTTCAAATTTATAATGCGGAAGTGTAAAAGTCAGTGCTGTCCAAATTGTCGTAAACAAAAGGTTGATCAAAAGTACAAAAATAAAACTATGCTGACCATATAAAAGAGTTTTTTTTTTAATCAGCCGTTGAATAACTGGATGCATAATTAATGATGAATCTTGATTTTTTACAATGTCCTAAAAAATAATTTATTTGTTTTTATGTTTATATATATAAACATAATATAATGTTAATTAATAAAAATTATTATAAATATTAATTAATACAAAAATTAAAAATTAATTATTTAAAATAACAATGAAACATATAAAACCTTTACTTGATCGAAAATTAATTTTCAAATAGACTATGTAACTATTTTTTTATTTAATATATACAATGTAACTTTATAATACAGAATACAAAATCTTACAATAACTTACAAAAGAGTACTTACAAAATCTTTCCTTCAATATTTAAGACTTACATTTAAATTAAATACATTTACAATTAAACTAAAATAAATTCAGAATGCTATATTATAAATGAAGAGATTTGTTAACTTTTATTTAAACAAAAACTAGTGAATTAATAATTTGAATTTTCATGTTTAATAATCTCAGTGTATTTAATTACAAGAAATAATAAAAATGGTTATACTGTTTAAACAGTTTGACAGTTACAGCTTAGGTTGAACTGCTAATCAACAAGAGTAGTCGTAGGTTATGTGGCTATTGAATACTGCTGATATTTTCTAAATTATGAATGCAAACTACATAAAATAAACATACAAACTATAAACAGACATTTTAATCCAGTTCAAAAAGAAAACCTTTTTTTAACAGAACAACTACTACAAATAAACTATAACCAAAATAAATATCATACTAGGTTGCCAATATTTTACCAAGTGTTTAATATAACCAAATATAATAACCAAGTGTTCATAAAATGGACATGACTTATTTGTAATATAAACATAGATGTCTAAACTAAATATTTCTGAAATTTATCTAATATAAACAAATATATATACAGTTATTAATGCCATTATATATTTTTGAATAATATAGCAACAGAATAACACATGTTATGAAGGTAACAACCGATCATGCGTATTCATTAAGTAAACAAAGCAATAAAGCGTGAATGCGTCTAACAGTCGATTGCGATTAAAAACAATTGGACCAAAATGCGTCCAATCAAACCGACATAATATTAATAGAAGACAAAAATAGAAGAAAGACAGAAGAGAAAAAGGGAGTTCGCTCGATCATTCGCTCAGACAAGGAATCATATAGAATAAGAAGAGTCTTATAGAATAATTCATATATAGTGACTGTTATGTTAAATAATTTAAAATAGTATGTTAGTTGGAGTTTTATTACAAAACAAATTGTAATTGAATAATTGTGGATTGGAATTATTATTATTAACTGTTGGAATATCACAAAAAAAATATAGGTTCCAGGAAATTAAAAATAGATAAATGTATAAACTTAAATAAAAGTAAAAACGCTTGTTACATACCGTTGAGTAACATTTTGGAGTCAAAAACTTGTTTGTTGTTACCACTACGTAACACACATAACAGGTTGCAGAAAAAAACTTAATAGATTATAGCACCTTAATAAAACCCAGAATATATTATGGATAAGTAGTAGAAGCTTGTGGCACATAAATCAATTCAAAAATGACTTTAGTTTTTGATACTAATAATAATTTACTACAAGTTTAGCAATATTAAGCACATAAAGTTAATAATTAATATATAATTATAATAAATTATAATATTAAGCATATAAAATTGATAACTAATATATAATTCACAATACATTCAACACAATCACAACATTTAATGCATATCTTCAACATTAGTAGATCCATTTTCTTTGGCACAGTTGTTGTGAAACCATCATTAACAAATGAAATGATGCAATTATTCTTCAGCTTTCTTTAGAATTGTACTCTATAGTTAACACCACGCCTAGCACAAAGAATATGATTCCCACATATTTTTTCACATATACGCCTATGTTTTTTTGTGTTTTTTTTTTTGCTTGGTAGCTTGCTTGCTTTTGTTATATTTCCATGATTTTTGTCTTTCCAACAGCTTTTACACATTTATTACTTCAAATCAACAGCTTTTGCAAACTTATTACTTCAAATCAACAGCTTTTACCAGAGTTGTTAACAAGGCCAAATGTAGCAAGGACAAGGCCAAGGACAAGGACAAGAATTTTAAGGTCATTACCAAAATTAAAAGTTTCAAGGCCAAGGCCTACGCAAACAGTTTCAAAATCAAAGACTTCAATTTTTCCCTTACGTTAAAGCCAATTATTAACAAAACTCTAAGTAGCAAGTGCTGTGACAATAAAACCACAAAAGGCCAAAATTTTCAAGGCCAGCAGTCTCAAGGCCAAGGCCTCAATTTTTGGCCTTAAGTCAAGATCAAGGACTAACAACTCTGACTTTTACACACTTATTGCAGTTTCAATCTTCTCAATCTTCTTCTTTTTTTTTTGACTTCCATTTAATTTTAAAATTCTAAAAGATAAGGCATTTTTTTATGAACTGGAAAAGACAGGTTGTTGTCTTTTTTGTTTAATAATGTCTTTTTATTTGCTTTTAGTTAAGACAGAAGATTCCATTTATAAATTGTATGTAGAGAAAGATCTTTTTGCAAAACGACTTGTTTATTTCAAATAAATTTCAAAAAAGTATTATGATATTTATTTCTTCTTTATTAACATCAACATTAACTTTTTTTGAATTCATTTTTCTATATCTTTAATTTTAGCAGTCACTTAATAAACCTACATGGTCAATTAAAAAACCTAATTAAGTTTAATTCATAGTTTACTCTAAACATTCTATTTTATATATTTATACACAACTTCATTTGTTTGTTATTTATATTTATATTCTATTTTATATCATATATTTATACACAACTTCATTTAAATCATAAAGGATTAAAAATCATAACCGCACAAGTCATTAACCTTTACTTTAACATATTGACATGCACTTATTGCAATTGACATGTCTATATTAGGGTTTTTTATTCTTTATTCCAAACATTCATTCCAAGATGAGATTTTAAAAGATGGCTTTATATAAAGATAGCAGAAAACATTTCTAACAAATGTAGAAAAAAAAAAGACCTAAAAAGTTTTTATTGACAATTTTTCTGTAACTAGAGGTGTTGCTGTGTAAAAATAACACATATGTGGCTGTACAAAAATAACATTTATTTAACAATAAAAGGTATATACTCAGTTGTATCTCAATGTATATACCTGTGAACTTGTGCATATATCATATTAAACATGTAACCTAGTGCAAATAACAATAAAAAGATCCCAAAGTCTTGCTACAATAATTAAAATAAGGTATTTTATTTAAAATAATATTTTACGACCAGATGCCTATCATGGTGTTAACCTGTTTTTAAATAATCTTCTGACTTAATTGATTGCAGCAGAAACTCACACTGCAATCATTTTGATCTATTTAAACTGCAATAATATCTTTTTCAAAAATATTATCTTTTTAAGGTCTTAGATTAGAGTAGTAGTTTTCTTTGCAAGTATCTTAAAAAAATCACTTAAAAAACTGTGACCAGTAGACTGTGACCCTGAAGTTGAATTGAAAATAATTATTGTCATCAATGCCAACAACAACAACAACAACAACAACAACAACAACAACAAAAACAACAACAACAAACTATTTTTTTTTCATAAATCATTTCTACAATAGTATTAATAACAATAATAATAATAATAAGCATAAGCCAAGCATAAGATTTAATAACATGAATTCAGAGAAATATTAGTAAATGTCTATTAATAAGTTCAGAGCAGAAATTTTGATATAATGTTATTATACAGAAATGTTATATACTTTTACAATATAATAAATCATAAAATATTTTAAAAAATTCACTAAATATTACTCATAATTAAACCTTAATATTGTTTAACCATACCTCTAAAGGTTCTCTGACCAAAACCACTCTTACACTTTTTTTAAGCAGTTTTCTACTATTTTTCCATTTTTTGGTCTCTAAGTAACTTAAATAGTACTTAGTTGTTCTGTTTGCCTTATCGACATGCTGAAATTGATCTAAAGCCTCAACAGCTACATTAGGCATTTTTGCAACCAAGTGTGATAAACATGACGTTCCTGAATCATCATAAACTCCTGCTGGTGCTCCATGTTCTAAAAGAATACGTGATGCTTCTTCACAACCTAAAAAAGTTGAAATATAAACTATTTTTATATTATATTGATATATATATATACTTAACAACTTAATCTCAAACTCATATCAGACAATGTATGAACACTCTACTGCCCCTATATCTATAAATATCAGTAAATTTATGCACACTTAGCATAAAATAAAATAAAACTAAAAATATAAAAAATATATATTTATAAAAAACAAACTTTTTTAAGAAATATAAACGATGAGCCATTAAAGTTTGTTTAATTTTGTGCTTTTTAAAATATTAATTTTTATGTACTTCCACAATAGTTTAATGGTTTTGATGTTTAGGTGACATTAAAAATAGAAGACATTAAAAACTCATTTAAAAGTTGTGGTAGAAAAATTGCCATCATAAGGGACTATTTTAACCAAAAAAAGTCTTTTTCACATCCTATTTATTAATTATAGTTGATTCTATAGTTTGTTTGAGTATTACTTCATTTTTTATGCACGTAAAAATATTTATTAACTATTCTTATATTCTTTTTTATTGTTATACTAATAAACCCTATATTTAGAAATCTGGTAAACCCTAACCCTAACTAAGAGGTTCGAGGTTCCATGCAAGCTTTTGGCCAATAAGCTACATTAGTTAAGGAGGTAACTTCCTTGTTAAATGCTCCTTTGCTGCGCTCTGTAATAAGATATGTGGTTTTCTGAGAACACCGTCAGGATTAAAAAATATTTGATTATAATTATTTTTGTTATATTTCTTTAAACTTCTGTGTAATGGTTTGGTTACAATTTACACATTTTTTATCCTAACTTACTAATACAGTTTGTCATATATTAGGATTTTTAGACAATCTAATGCTTTAACATTTAATTCATATTTGATTAATATGACAAAATCAAGATGAAAGAGGTTCTATCTGTTATTCTTGTATAACTCCTGAACTAGTTTCATTCATAAATCTTTTATTATATTATATACACATTTTATATTTATATTTAATTTACAGTGGTGTACTCTCTGTTTTTTTCTCGGTCAACCTGTGGGCAAAAATACTGAAGAAAAAAATTTAAACATCTGACTACTAAAATATGTCTAATAAGAAACAGTTTAATTAAAAAAATTAATTATTAAAAAAAAGTAATTTTAGATACAAAGAGATATCGGTAACGAGACAACTGTTTTGTTTAGTTTATATCTATTTTGTTTTAGCATTCCGAATTGAAAGAAAATGTTATTTTAAAACTCATTTTAAAATGAGAAAAGGGGCTTCAAAATCGAATAAAAAAAACAGTAGTTGCACTTTGAAATATTTAATTGCGTTTCAGCATCTTTTTACTAAGTTAAGTAAAATTATATAATGCATCGCAGTATACTTATAATTAAACAAAGTGTATATACTTTAAATGTTTTTTTAAAGTTTCCTTTATAATATTCACAAGGAATAAAATTTTCATAGATCAAAATATGGCTTTATTAATAAATACATTTTTGTAAGTAACAAACTGTCTGGACGTCCTGCCAGGCATTTTTTTAAAATTAGGTCGCCCTTAGAGAAAACAAGTTTTCCGGTGCCACTGGATGACCATGAGGGTACACCCCTGGAATACATTTATATTTCATATATATAACATTATATATACCTTCATATTTATGTTCAAATCTTCATCTATCACATTTTTTTTTTATTTTTTAGCTCTAAGCACCTCTAAAAAATATCCTTAACTTGTATAAGAAAACTTTTTTCTGATTTGTAGAGCCATTATCTAACAATTCGTCTCTTTTTTTTTTTAATTTTTTGTTGTTTTTTTTTTTTGTTATAACTCAAAATAATATCAAAATTATTTTTTAATCACTATAACTACTGCAAGTTTTCTTACAGTGTGAATCTTATAGTGCGAATCTTATAGTGTGAATCTTATAGTGTGAATCTTATAGTGTGAATCTTATAGTGCGAATCTTATAGTGCGAATCTTATAGTGTGAATCTTATAGTGTGAATCTTATAGTGTGAATCTTATAGTGTGAATATTATAGTGTGAATCTTATAGTGTGAATCTTATAGTGTGAATCTTATAGTGTGAATCTTATAGTGTGAATCTTATAGTGTGAATCTTATAGTGTGAATCTTATAGTGTGAATCTTATAGTGTGAATCTTATAGTGTGAATCTTATAGTGTGAATCTTATAGTGTGAATATTATAGTGTAAATTGTATAGTGTGAATCTTATAGTGTGAATCTTATAGTGTGAATATTATAGTGTGAATTGTATAGTGTGAATCTTATAGTGTGAATCTTATAGTGTGAATCTTATAGTGTGAATATTATAGTGTGAATCTTATAGTGTGAATCTTATAGTGTGAACCTTAAAGTGTGAACCTTATAGTGTGAATCTTACAATGTGAATCTTATAGTGTGAACCTTATAGTGTGAACCTTATAGTGTGAATCTTACAATGTGAATCTTACAGTGTGAATCTTATAGTGTGAATCTTACAATGTGAATCTTATAGTGTGAATCTTATAGTGTGAATCTTATAGTGTGAATATTATAGTGTAAATTGTATAGTGTGAATCTTATAGTGTGAATCTTATAGTGTGAATATTATAGTGTGAATTGTATAGTGTGAATCTTATAGTGTGAATCTTATAGTGTGAATCTTATAGTGCGAATCTTATAGTGTGAACCTTATAGTGTGAACCTTATAGTGTGAATCTTACAATGTGAATCTTACAGTGTGAATCTTATAGTGTGAATCTTACAATGTGAATCTTATAGTGTGAATCTTATAGTGTGAATCTTACAATGTGAATATTATAGTGTGAATTGTATAGTGTGAATCTTATAGTGTGAATCTTATAGTGTGAATCTTATAGTGCGAATCTTATAGTGTGAACCTTATAGTGCGAATCTTATAGTGTAAATCTTATAGTGTGAATATTATAGTGTGAATTGTATAGTGTGAATCTTATAGTGTGAATCTTATAGTGTGAATCTTATAGTGCGAATCTTATAGTGCGAATCTTATAGTGTAAATCTTATAGTGTGAATATTATAGTGTGAATTGTATAGTGTGAATCTTATAGTGTGAATCTTATAGTGTGAATCTTATAGTGCGAATCTTATAGTGTGAATCTTATAGTGTGAATCTTATAGTGTGAATCTTATAATGTGAATATTATAGTGTGAATTGTATAGTGTGAATCTTATAGTGTGAATCTTATAGTGTGAATCTTATAGTGCGAATCTTATAGTGTGAACCTTATAGTGCGAATCTTATAGTGTAAATCTTATAGTGTGAATATTATAGTGTGAATTGTATAGTGTGAATCTTATAGTGTGAATCTTATAGTGTGAATCTTATAGTGCGAATCTTATAGTGTGAATCTTATAGTGTGAATCTTATAGTGTGAATCTTATAGTGTGAATATTATAGTGTAAATTGTATAGTGTGAATCTTATAGTGTGAATCTTATAGTGTGAATATTACAGTGTGAATTGTATAGTGTGAATCTTATAGTGTGAATCTTATAGTGTGAATATTACAGTGTGAATTGTATAGTGTGAATCTTATAGTGTGAATCTTATAGTGTGAATCTTATAGTGCAAATCTTATAGTGTGAATCTTATAGTGTGAATCTTATAGTGTAAATCTTATAGTGTGAATATTATAGTGTGAATTGTATAGTGTGAATCTTATAGTGTGAATCTTATAGTGTGAATCTTATAGTGCGAATCTTATAGTGTGAATCTTATAGTGTGAATCTTATAGTGTGAATCTTATAGTGTGAATATTATAGTGTAAATTGTATAGTGTGAATCTTATAGTGTGAATCTTATAGTGTGAATATTATAGTGTGAATTGTATAGTGTGAATCTTATAGTGTGAATCTTATAGTGTGAATATTATAGTGTGAATTGTATAGTGTGAATCTAAGAATGTGAATCTTACAGTGTGAATCTTATAGTGTGAATCTTATAGTGTGAATCTTATAGTGTGAATCTTATAGTGTGAATATTATAGTGTGAATTGTATAGTGTGAATCTTATAGTGTGAATCTTATAGTGTGAATCTTATAGTGTGAATCTTATAGTGTGAATCTTATAGTGTGAATATTATAGTGTGAATTGTATAGTGTGAATCTTATAGTGTGAATCTTATAGTGTGAATCTTATAGTGTGAATCTTATAGTGTGAATTGTATAGTGTGAATCTTATAGTGTGAATCTTATAGTGTGAATCTTATAGTGTGAATCTTATAGTGTGAATCTTATAGTGTGAATTGTATAGTGTGAATCTTATAGTGTGAATCTTATAGTGTGAATCTTATAGTGCGAATCTTATAGTGTGAATCTTATAGTGTGAATCTTATAGTGTGAATATTATAGTGTGATTTGTATAGTGTGAATCTTATAGTGTGAATCTTATAGTGTGAATCTTATAGTGTGAATCTTATAGTGTGAATTGTATAGTGTGAATCTTATAGTGTGAATCTTATAGTGTGAATCTTATAGTGTAAATTGTATAGTGTGAATCTTATAGTGTGAATCTTATAGTGTGAATATTATAGTGTGAATTGTATAGTGTGAATCTTATAGTGTGAATCTTATAGTGTGAATCTTATAGTGCGAATCTTATAGTGTGAACCTTATAGTGTGAACCTTATAGTGTGAATCTTACAATGTGAATCTTATAGTGTGAACCTTATAGTGTGAACCTTATAGTGTGAATCTTACAATGTGAATCTTATAGTGTGAATCTTACAATGTGAATCTTATAGTGTGAATCTTATAGTGTGAATCTTACAATGTGAATATTATAGTGTGAATTGTATAGTGTGAATCTTATAGTGTGAATCTTATAGTGTGAATCTTATAGTGCGAATCTTATAGTGTGAACCTTATAGTGCGAATCTTATAGTGTAAATCTTATAGTGTGAATATTATAGTGTGAATTGTATAGTGTGAATCTTATAGTGTGAATCTTATAGTGTGAATCTTATAGTGCGAATCTTATAGTGTGAATCTTATAGTGTGAATCTTATAGTGTGAATCTTATAGTGTGAATATTATGGTGTAAATTGTATAGTGTGAATCTTATAGTGTGAATCTTATAGTGTGAATATTACAGTGTGAATTGTATAGTGTGAATCTTATAGTGTGAATCTTATAGTGTGAATATTACAGTGTGAATTGTATAGTGTGAATCTTATAGTGTGAATCTTATAGTGTGAATCTTATAGTGCGAATCTTATAGTGTGAATCTTATAGTGTGAATCTTATAGTGTAAATCTTATAGTGTGAATATTATAGTGTGAATCTTATAGTGCGAATCTTATAGTGTGAACCTTATAGTGTGAACCTTATAGTGTGAATCTTACAATGTGAATCTTATAGTGTGAACCTTATAGTGTGAACCTTATAGTGTGAATCTTACAATGTGAATCTTACAGTGTGAATCTTATAGTGTGAATCTTACAATGTGAATCTTATAGTGTGAATCTTATAGTGTGAATCTTACAATGTGAATATTATAGTGTGAATTGTATAGTGTGAATCTTATAGTGTGAATCTTATAGTGTGAATCTTATAGTGCGAATCTTATAGTGTGAACCTTATAGTGCGAATCTTATAGTGTAAATCTTATAGTGTGAATATTATAGTGTGAATTGTATAGTGTGAATCTTATAGTGTGAATCTTATAGTGTGAATCTTATAGTGCGAATCTTATAGTGTGAATCTTATAGTGTGAATCTTATAGTGTGAATCTTATAGTGTGAATATTATAGTGTAAATTGTATAGTGTGAATCTTATAGTGTGAATCTTATAGTGTGAATATTACAGTGTGAATTGTATAGTGTGAATCTTATAGTGTGAATCTTATAGTGTGAATATTACAGTGTGAATTGTATAGTGTGAATCTTATAGTGTGAATCTTATAGTGTGAATCTTATAGTGCGAATCTTATAGTGTGAATCTTATAGTGTGAATCTTATAGTGTAAATCTTATAGTGTGAATATTATAGTGTGAATTGTATAGTGTGAATCTTATAGTTTGAATCTTATAGTGTGAATCTTATAGTGCGAATCTTATAGTGTGAATCTTATAGTGTGAATCTTATAGTGTGAATCTTATAGTGTGAATATTATAGTGTAAATTGTATAGTGTGAATCTTATAGTGTGAATCTTATAGTGTGAATATTATAGTGTGAATTGTATAGTGTGAATCTTATAGTGTGAATCTTATAGTGTGAATATTATAGTGTGAATTGTATAGTGTGAATCTAAGAATGTGAATCTTACAGTGTGAATCTTATAGTGTGAATCTTATAGTGTGAATCTTATAGTGTGAATCTTATAGTGTGAATCTTATAGTGTGAATCTTATAGTGTGAATCTTATAGTGTGAATATTATAGTGTGAATTGTATAGTGTGAATCTTATAGTGTGAATCTTATAGTGTGAATCTTATAGTGTGAATCTTATAGTGTGAATCTTATAGTGTGAATATTATAGTGTGAATTGTATAGTGTGAATCTTATAGTGTGAATCTTATAGTGTGAATCTTATAGTGTGAATCTTATAGTGTGAATTGTATAGTGTGAATCTTATAGTGTGAATCTTATAGTGTGAATCTTATAGTGTGAATCTTATAGTGTGAATCTTATAGTGTGAATTGTATAGTGTGAATCTTATAGTGTGAATCTTATAGTGTGAATCTTATAGTGCGAATCTTATAGTGTGAATCTTATAGTGTGAATCTTATAGTGTGAATATTATAGTGTGAATTGTATAGTGTGAATCTTATAGTGTGAATCTTATAGTGTGAATCTTATAGTGTGAATCTTATAGTGTGAATTGTATAGTGTGAATCTTATAGTGTGAATCTTATAGTGTGAATCTTATAGTGTGAATCTTATAGTGTGAATCTTATAGTGTGAATTGTATAGTGTGAATCTTATAGTGTGAATCTTATAGTGTGAATATTATAGTGTGAATCTTATAGTGTGAATCTTATAGTGTGAATATTATAGTGTGAATTGTATAGTGTGAATCTTATAGTGTGAATCTTATAGTGTGAATCTTATAGTGTGAATCTTATAGTGTGAATCTTATAGTGTGAATCTTATAGTGTGAATCTTATAGTGTGAATATTATAGTGTAAATTGTATAGTGTGAATCTTATAGTGTGAATCTTATAGTGTGAATATTATAGTGTGAATTGTATAGTGTGAATCTTATAGTGTGAATCTTATAGTGTGAATATTATAGTGTGAATTGTATAGTGTGAATCTAAGAATGTGAATCTTACAGTGTGAATCTTATAGTGTGAATCTTATAGTGTGAATCTTATAGTGTGAATATTATAGTGTGAATTGTATAGTGTGAATCTTATAGTGTGAATCTTATAGTGTGAATCTTATAGTGTGAATCTTATAGTGTGAATCTTATAGTGTGAATCTTTTAGTGTGAACCTTATAGTGTGAACCTTATAGTGTGAATCTTACAATGTGAATCTTATAGTGTGAACCTTATAGTGTGAACCTTATAGTGTGAATCTTACAATGTGAATCTTACAGTGTGAATCTTATAGTGTGAATCTTACAATGTGAATCTTATAGTGTGAATCTTATAGTGTGAATCTTACAATGTGAATATTATAGTGTGAATTGTATAGTGTGAATCTTATAGTGTGAATCTTATAGTGTGAATCTTATAGTGCGAATCTTATAGTGTGAATCTTATAGTGCGAATCTTATAGTGTAAATCTTATAGTGTGAATATTATAGTGTGAATTGTATAGTCTGAATCTTATAGTGTGAATCTTATAGTGTGAATCTTATAGTGCGAATCTTATAGTGTGAATCTTATAGTGTGAATCTTATAGTGTGAATCTTATAGTGTGAATATTATAGTGTAAATTGTATAGTGTGAATCTTATAGTGTGAATCTTATAGTGTGAATATTATAGTGTGAATTGTATAGTGTGAATCTTATAGTGTGAATCTTATAGCGTGAATCTTATAGTGCGAATTTTATAGTGTGAATCTAAGAATGTGAATCTTACAGTGTAAATCTAAGAGCATGAATCTAAGAATGTGAATCTTACAGTGTAAATCTAAGAGCATGAATCTAAGAATGTGAATCTTACAGTGTAAATCTAAGAGCATGAATCTAAGAATGTAAATCTTACAGTGTGAATCTTATAGTGTGAATCTTACAGTGTGAATCTTATAGTGTGAATCTTATAGTGTGAATTTTAAGAGTGTGAATCTTATAGTGGGAATCTTGTAGTATGAATATTATAGTGCAAATTGTATAGTGTAAATCTAAGAATGTGAATCTTGTGAAGCCGTAAATCATATGCGGACAAATAGGAACAATGTTTTGATATATATAAACATACGTGGCTATAAAAATGTATATTAAAGATGGCTTACTTATAAGAATATATATATTTAAGTGTAGTACAGTGTTTTAATAACGACACAACAATGGCGCTACGAGTAAGGGACGATTTGACTTTAGATGACCCAGATAATGCAGAAGCATGGATTAGATGCTTTTCAGCTTCCGCACGTTCAAAGAAATTAAAAGATGAGATAAACGGTAGCTACGAGATAACAGATTTATTTATGGCAAAAGCAGGGATTGAAGCAGTTAAAAAGATTTCTCTTATGGTATATCCAGAAGAATTAGAAAATATGATGTTCGATGATATTAAAACTGTTGTTATGTCTCATTTGAGACCTCAAAAACGACTAATTATTGCTGAAAGAGTTCGATTTTTAGCATTAAAACAGCAAAACAATGAAAACATCGTATCATATGCACAAAGATTACGCGAAGCTTCACGCTTTTGCAACTTCGAAAAATTGGGAAGAGATGGCCAAAGTGCGGAAGATGATTTGATTCAAATGAGATTGATTGATGGTCTCCAATCTTCTGATCAGAGAGTTAAAGCTCTAGAAATGATACAGAGTGGAGAATCGCCTAAACTAGGAGCATGTATTGATTTTATCAGGCAACTGGAGCAAATATCCTGTTTTAGTATACAAAACAACATCGAAAACAGCATAGACCTTCCTTCAGTTAATTACATTGATAAAAATAAAGAAAGAATGATTAAATGCAAGTATTGTGGCCTTTAACACCCACCTAGGAAATGCCCAGCATTTGGGAAGAGTTGTAAAAAATGTGGAAAGCTGAACCACTTTAAAAACGTATGCAAAGCAAACACTAAATATGAAAAAATAGTAGAGGAAATAGAGAACGATGATGCTAGTGTGTATTCCATTAACATGAATGATACAAACTCAGAGATTAGTGTAAAAATTAATGACTACAATATAAAAATGCAAGTAGACACCGGAAGTCAAGTCACAATTATTCCAAAAAATTTTTGGGAACTAATGTCTAAACCGAAATTACAAAAATGCTACCTTCGCCTGAAACAGTTTGATGGCACAGTTATAAAAGTCCTAGGCGAATTTGAGGCAACTTTGGAAACCGAATCAAAAATGAACATCGTACGAATTATTGTTGCAGACTGTACAAAAAATCATGGTCTAATTGGTATGGATGTATTAAATTTCAACGCCACAAAATTAGTTAATAGTATAGAACCTCTTGTTCATGGGCGTTTAATTAATTACAAAGCAAATATTCTGTTGAAAAACGGCGTACAACCAACTTATTTTGAAGCTCGACCTCTTCCTATCCATATAAGACCACTAGTGGTAGATAAACTTAATGGAATGATACAGCAAGGGTTGCTTCAAAGGGTTCCTCCTGGTGGAAGCAGATGGGCTTCACCGCTTGTGGTTGTTAGAAAAACAGACGGAGATTTACGCATTTGTGCGGATTACAAAATAGGTGTTAACCAAAAAATATGCTCAGACTCATATCCCATCCCAAACATTGAGACCGTATTTCATAAAATGGCAGGGATGAAATACTTTGCTAAAATTGATCTCAAGGGAGCTTATCATCAAATTGAGATGGACAAAGAGGCACAAGAAATAACAACAGTTAATACCCCTATTGGATTATTAAGATGGACCTGTTTACCTTTCGGAATTAAGACTGCAAGTGCGATATTTCAAAGAGCGATAGAATCTGTTGTTGGCGATATTATTCCCAATATGATTATATTTCAAGACGATATATGTGTCGGTGCTAAAAATGCTGAAGAACTCAAATCGAATTTAAACAAAATATTGAGCAAATTGAAGGAATCGGGAATGAGCATAAATAAACGAAAGTCAGTGAATGAAACAAAAAGTCTTTCATTTTTAGGATATGAACTGTCAGAAAAAGGAGTTACCCCAGATCGTAATTTAGTCAGCAAAATACTTGGAATAAGTCCTCCTAATAATAAAAAGGAACTCGAGTCATTTATAGGATTAATAAACTTTTATGGTCGACACATTGATAAATATGCTGAAAAAATTTTACCTTTAAACAATTTAAGAAAGAAAGGAGTTACATTCGAATGGAGGAAGGAGCATCAACAGGCATTTGAATTGCTAAAAAGAAACCTTTGTGAAGAACCCGTAGTGAAGGTTTATGACATCAACCAAGATCTAGAGTTAACAACAGATGCTAGCGAGAAAGCTATATCTGGAATACTTTCACAGAATGGCCATCCGGTATTGTATCTCTCACGAACTTTATCAGACGCTGAGACAAGATATTCTAATATTGAGAGAGAAGCTTTAGCTATTGTATGGTCTGCTCACAGAGCTAGGCATTTTCTGTTGGGTAGAAAATTCAAATTAATATCAGATCACAGGCCATTAGAATTTATATTTGATAGTAACAAAGAATTGCCCAAAGTCACATCCGCTAGAATTTTAAGATGGGCCATACAAATGATGGCATTTGACTACGAAATAAGCTACAAGAAGGGAGAAAACATTCCTCATGCTGACGCATTATCGAGATTGTCCTTTCTACCACAAGATGAAGAGAAAGACCAAGAAACATTTATACACTTAGTCGAGTCAGATATAGTGAACCTTGAGCAAATAATAAAAGAAACAGAAAATGATAGGGTATTGATGGACATCAAAACCAGAATTAGGAAGAATAATTGGAGCAGATGCTCGGTAAGAGAAAGACCCTATAAATCTATTAGGAATAAACTGACTATCGAAAAAGGAATTGTGTGTAATGGTGACCTCATTGTACCTCCTAAGACAATGAGAAAGATCTTCATCAAATCGATCCATGATGATATACATTGTGGCATAATGCAAACGCGATGTAGATTAAAATTAGAAGCCTGGTGGCCTGGCTACTGTCAAGATGTTGAAGATTATGTGAAAAACTGTGAAAAATGTGCCGAAATAAAAGTGAAGAAGGAAAGGACATTACATACATGGCCAAGTGAAAATAAACCTTGGTGTAGAGTACATATGGATCATGCACATGTACAGGGTATCGGACTGTTTTTGATTTTAGTAGATTCTTTTTCTGGATGGCCGGAAGTTATTAAGGTAAATAACCGTGAAGCAACCACTGTAAAGGCAGTACTACAAAGTGTTTTTTCAAGAAATGGAGTTCCAGAGGTTTTAGTATCCGACAATGCTGCGGAATTTCATGATACCACCTTACACCAGTGGCTAAAGAAAGTAGGTTGCGTACCTTATAAGACTCCACCTTACCATCCTCAATCTAACGGAGCAGCTGAAAGAATAGTAGAGACAGTTAAGATGGGTTTAAGAGCTTATTCACCGGACAAAGGTTTATTATGTGGATATTTAAGCAGAATGCTTTTAAGTTACAGAACAATACCTCATGCAGGAAGATCAAGGAGTCCTTCCGAGATGATGGGAAGGCAGTTGAGATCCCCTCTCACCATGAGTTTCGAAAGTGGGACACCTTTATGGTACCGTCAAAAACCAGATTCCAAACCTGAACCTGCCTCATTCATCTCTCAGGCAGGTCTAAACACTGCGATCATATTAAGGAATAACTCTTCGGGTACGTTAGCACACTGTGACCAAATAAACAAACGCCTAAATGAGTCTAGTATACTTATGAATAATGAAGGCAGTATGCGGTATGATCATACCAATAATGAAAAAATCGATCCATGCAATAGTGATAAATCTGATATGTCCGAACTACGTGTTACTAAAGAAGAACCTAACCAGAATCGAAGAAGTACTCGGTCGACAAGGGGGCAAAAGCCAATACGTTTCAGGGATGTGAAGTTGTAAATCATATGCGGACAAATAGGAACAATGTTTTGATATATATAAACATACGTGGCTATAAAAATGTATATTAAAGATGGCTTACTTATAAGAATATATATATTTAAGTGTAGTACAGTGTTTTAATAACGACACAACAAATCTTATAGTGTGAATCTCATAGTGTGAACCTTATAGTGGGAATCTTTTGATGTGAACCTTACAGATTGAACCTTACAGTGTGAATCTTATAGTGTGAACCTTAAGTGTGAATTGTAAAGTGTGAATCTTACAGTGTGAATCTTATAGTAGGGGGGTTCATAATCATCTTTTTTTTTAGATTTTTTATAGTTTAACCAATTTTTCATGCCGATTCTGAAAATCATAATTTTTTTCACTTTAATTATTTAGCCTTCTACAACAATTTTAATAAAAATGAATATATTGACAAAAAACGCATTGTTAGAAATAGATGAAATTATTATTATCATTAAATATAAGAAAAGTAGAAAAGTAGAAATCTTTTTCTGTTTAAATTATCAATAATAAACCTTATGATTTATAAGTAACAAAAAAAATTAAGCATTATATATGAAATCAATTCATACAGTTTGTTATTTACTATTGAAAATGGAAAATAACTATAAAAGTCATCATATGTGATAGAGATTGGTTCGGGAACTTTCAATGTAGAACATTTAGGTTATGAGTGTGTTCTTTGGTAGACATAAGATAGAGGTTTGTATTTTTATATCAACAATCATGTATTTAAGCAGAATAAACCTCCGCTACAATGACCTACATTGTATCCCTAAAATGAAGAACCTCATTTTTCGAATTTTTTTTTTTATTTTAACATATCTTTATCTACTTTAATTATGTCTAGTTCACAGCTAAATGGGCTGCCTTGTAACTTTAATCAAACTAAAATAGAACTCATCTTGCACACCTAATGTAAAGTTTGCTGCTCATCCATTGTGATCCATTTGTTTTTGTAGCTGGTTTCAACTATATTCCATAGTTTCAACTTTTTGGACAAATAACTGGACAACAATATTTTAAAAATATTTTTAAACTACACGAACCTTCATTTTTTATATGGTTTAAAATGATTAAGTATACATCTACTGTTGAAATTAAATGGGTTTTTTCCAAAACTTTCCAACTGCAATAACTTAATTAGAAAGCTAATACTAATCATATTCCATCATCAACCAAACATATAATACTTTTCTCTTTTTTGAAGTCCTGAGGCTAACTTTTTCCAAAATACTCTAGCAAAAATGATACAATCATTCAACCTCTTTGAGGTATACTTATTAACTGCTTCTAGAATTTTTTAAACTAGCTATTCACTGCGCTTTAGAGTAAAGCAGAAAATTTTAAAATTTAATCACCCAGTTTTTTTTTTTTATAAAGTCTTTTAGGTAGCAGTATTACTTCAACTGAACTTCTACTGACTGGCACTTTAAAAGAAGATTTATTCTTGACTTCATTAAAGAAAAGTGAAAAAAAAACGAAATCTTGAATAACTTTCTTGATAGCTTGAATAGCAATTAAAAATAAATATAAAAAAGGAAATTAAGATATTTTGAAGCAATCTGTCTTTTTGATTACTTAAAAAGTTTTGTTTAGAAAGAGATAAAACTTTTTTTTATAAAACACAACGACTAAAAATCAAATTTATCCAATCAAAATTTGAATAGCATAAATTTGAAAGAAAAGTTGTTTAACTTTATATGTAAAGAAACTTTAGCAAAGACTTTTTATTTTTTATATCTTTAAATTTTTTAAATAGAAGTAGAAGATCAACTATAAAAATTTAACAAAAACTGAACTGTTTTTTGAACTTTTCTCAAAAAATTAATTAAGATTATCTGGTTAAACAAGAAACACAAAATTCTGGACCCCCTCTACTTATAGTGTGAATCTCATATGTGAACCTTATAGTGTGAATCTTTTGATATGAACCTAACAGTGTGAACCTTACAGTGTGAATCTTAAAGTGTGAACCTTATAGTGTAAATCTTTTTTCTTTTTTTTTTATTTTAATTCACCTCCTCAAGGCCGAGAAGGCCACTACAGACGAGGAGGCTACTTATTTGTGGTTATAACCCTCTCTCAACTCTATAACTCCAAAACACGAACCTTGACGAGCAAGGCCGCTGCGCGGAGAAACGAGTTGAGCGCGGTACTACCAGGGACGTGGTGGGGATCGAACTCGGAACCACTCGTTTATGAAGCGAGCGCTCTACCACTACACCACTACCGCATTCTTATAGGGTGAACCTTACAGTGTGAATCTTATAGTGTGAATATTATAGTGTGAACCTTATAGTGTTAATCTTAGTTTTATAATTAAACAATAAGCATAAAAACTCTAGATAACCATGAACTGTAGAGAATCATGAATTGTAAGTAACCATTAACTTTAGGTAACCATGAACTTTCTTTACAGAGTAAACATTAGAGCTGCTATTTTTAGCAAAAAACCTTTTTAAAATTTAGTTTAAAGCTAGTTTTGTTAAGTTTTAAGAAAACATTCTGCTTATTTAAATGTTTTAAATACTCAATTTCCAGAAAAATATTCATAAATTTCAAATTATCAAATGAAATTTATTTATAATATATAATAATTATTTATAATATATATATTATAAAAATTATTAATTAAAATTATTAATAAAAATTATTAATTAAAAAATGCCTACAGATCTATTCAATAGTTCTGATGAATCTTTCATTTAGGCAGAAGTATTTCAGCTAGTTTTTTCATGAACTCTTAGTCCTAAATTTTGTGCAACTTTAAAGCCAAATGGTTGCTAATTGGAGAAATATTAAATGTACATTTAAAAAATTAAAAACAATTTGTTATCAATTTAGTTATATTTATTAATGGTTATCAATTTTTTTTGATTTTAACATAAAATATAGTTTAAAAGAATGGAGGTATTTTCAAAAGATAATAAAATTTTACTATTGGGTTTGATACAACCCAAGAAGGAATACATATAAACTCAATTCTAGGGCCCTGCGAATCGGCACTTTTTGTTTCGAATTGAATCTCGAATCAAAGCAGGTCTTGATTAGCAACTCGAATCACGTTTCGAATTGACATTTTGAAGTTTAAATTTAAGCATTTTTTATTTAATAATACTTATTTCAAAATAAAATTAAAAAATTGTACAATTTCTTTATTGATACTTCTTGCCCTGGTTAACTTTTTTATGACTGATTAAAAAGGTATTTAAGGATAAGTAACGTTTTTTCGATAGCGCAAAAGCGCATAATATCTAAAATACCCACAACAAAAACAAAATAAGCAAGGATTCGATTTTTGAAAATTTTTAAATCGATATAGATATAGATCAGTTGTCAGGTGGAACTGCACACAAATATTAAACTCATATTGTATCTTCAATTGATCAATTTGCATTTTTGTATTTCATTATTTTTGTATTTCATTTCTATAATTGCGACTACCAAAGAGTTGACTATCAAAAGTTTAAAAACTGAAAATGACTAAAGATCAAAAAGACTGACTGTGTTACTACTAATCATGCAGCTGTTCAGTTGATAATTTTTCCATGAGAAAAGTTTCATATAACCTAATTTGTACTTACACCCTCTTGAAACAATATCCAGCTATTGCAGTTCTGCATTAAAAATGATTGATTGCTGTTAATATAGATTTACAAATGAATAAAAGATAGTAAAAGAGATCATATAGATTTTAAAATCTTTTTAAATAAAATAGAACTTTCCAAAGGACTCATTTCCTATTACACAGGAAACGGATAGCAAATTTTGTTTTATATATTTGGTGTAAATATATATATATATATATATATATATATATATATATATATATATATATATATATATATATATATATATATATATATATATATATATATATATATATATATATATATATATATTTATATATATATATATATATATATATATATATATATATATATATATATATATATATATATATATATATATATATATATATATATATATATATACATATATATATATATATACACACTACCCACAATTAATTTGAGAACAGCGATTAAAAACAGAATTTACATTTCAAAAATAAATATATCTGATTATCATCTTGGCACTTCTTTATTTTTGGATCAAAAATAAATAGAGCACAATAAATAAGTGGATAGAATAGGATATGGGCATTTTTCCACCCAAAAATTTGCTTATGTGCAAAAGTATACAAAAGTCTATGTGCTGAGTTCTTCTAGCATAAAAGACAATACAAGTATTATTTTAACTGTTACTTAATTTTAATTAAAGACTTGTAATTGATATTGAAAATATAATTTTTGTCATTGGTGGCTTCTTGTAGATACTTTATGTAGATCCAATACAGTATATAATGACTTGTAAATGAGTATACAAGTATTGTATTATTTGAACTGTTTATTATTTTTTAGTTTTTATTTTGTCGTACTAAAATGGCTCCAGTTCGAGAATTAAGCTTTGAACAGAGAGTTTGCATTGTTTTACTTGATAAAGGTGTTTCAGAAAGAAAAATTGCGAAAAGAATGAAAATATTAAAGACTGGAGTTCACAATGCAATCAAGCGTTTCAAGGAAACTGGTAAATATTGTGACTTACCATGGTCAATATTGTGACTTACCAGCCTAGAAAGATAGATGAACATGGTGATCGTTGTATTACTAGATGTCAAACAGAAAATTAACAGCTCCACAAATAACAAGAGAATACAATGAAACTGCTGAAAAACTTGTTTGTGTCCAGACAATAAGAAACTGTTTGATGAAAGCTGGACTTAGAGGGTGTGTAGCTGCCAAAAAACCATTGCTAAGGAAAGCAAACAAGGTGAAACAACTACAATGGGCTCGCAAACATGCCAACTGGGCAAAAGGTCAAGGGAAAACAGTAGTATGGAGCGATGAGTCCAAGTTTGAATTATTTGGCAACAAGAGAAGAATATTTGTACACCAGCACCAGAATAAAGGTTACAT